AAATAGAGAACATACAGGTTTTTGCGAAGTTCAAAAGTGTTCGTAAAAATAGTAAGCTTTGGACTAGATAATAAATGATGTTGTTATTTAGTAACAATTTCATTAATGCCTGGGGATTTCTATTTTATCATTTACTTGGCTTTAGGCTTAAATTTTTTTTTGAGGATTTCTCAGTTTTTCCTTCTATTTTTGGGCTATAGTGTTCATGCCCACCTCCCTTGCCCAAATCAATCTGCCAAAAAATCCAGTTCTCTATCTCTTTTCATCTTATGAACCTGAATCTTATTATGCTGATCTCTTACTATGTTGTAACTCTACTTCTGTGCTGCCCTTTTATTCTTTGTCAGTTCTGACCTTATCTCTAAGAAGTGAATTGCAAATATTTCTGTCTTTCTGTCCAAGTCGAATTTCATATTTTCTGAATCACGTAGCTGCCCTCCATGTGACCTAGAAAGCCCTTTGATGATCCATATTTAGCTGTATCCATCACTCAACAGATGTCTGGGTAGTTAAAGGCCCCCATGAGCTCCCTCTACATCCTGTGGTTTCAAGTTCCTGAGTTGTTAGTTAAAAAGCTTTCATCCCCCTGCCCCCACCCATTCCAGAGTAGAAGTACAGATACCCACTTTAGCTGTTCATTCATTTATTCATTTGACAAATACCTACTCATTACCTACTGCATGCTTGATACTGAGTTAGATGTTATCCTCTTTGTTCCAAATTGCATTTTCTTAATCTGACCCATTTAGAGTAGTCCTCCAGGTTTTCTGATGATTTCTCTGGAATCAGCATTGAGCATCCAATTAAGCCGTCTCCTCTACCTGCAGGGTTTCCTGACCCCTGGGAGACTTGGAAGCTTAATCGTAAACTCTGATGTCTTGCTATAATATACCTGCTATTCCATGCACAGATATCAGACTTACAAAGGTTCACCACAGCTCTATCTAGGGGAGTTTAGTTCGCAGATGAGGTTGCAAGGCTCTGCTTGTCGTCCTGCACCTTGGACATGAAGAATGAAGTGGCAGCAAGGGTAGAACGCCTAGCAAGTTAAGTAGCTAATTTCCAAAACCCCTTGGTTTTCTGTGCCCCTGGTTTCCCACACAGATGCCTATGAGGAAAGATGCTTCTCTGCTTTTTGAGCTCTCTGGATCTTCCCATTAGATAGCATCTCTTGGCATCTGAAAGGCAGCTTGCTATTCTGTTCTCCTGTGGAACACAGATGGCCCAGCCCACGCCTATCACTAATGAGGACTGCATACAGAGCCTCCTTGCTGGAGGCTCCCTTCAGCAACCCCAGTGCTCCTTCCCTTTGCTGGCCAGTCACTGTTGACCATGGCATTTAAATCTGAGAAGGCTGTTTGCTGCTCTCCCACTCACAGAGCTGAACAAAAAAATCTATTAGGTGTAGGTCCTGGGAAATGAGTTGCATTCAGCTAGAACATGAAGACATTGAGGATTGAGGAAGGGATGGCTGCTGATTTGATTGCCAGGATTTTGGGATCCAGCTGTCCATGGAAGCTATTGAGTTTAAATATGAACAAGCACTGGAAGTTCTTCAGTAGGAACATGATTAGCTAGCTATACAGAGGTTAAACAGATGGGATATCAATTTGTCAATGTCATATTATTTCAAGTAGAATACTAGTATGGTTGGAAACAATTAGAATAGAATTTTAAAGGCACTAAAATATAGTGGGAAAAGCGTAGATTTTCTTTCTTTTTCTTTTCTTTCTCTCTCTCTCTCTCTTTCTTTCTTTTTTGAGACGGGATTTTCATTCTTTCACCCAGGCTGGAGTGCAGTGGCATGATCTTGGCTCACTGCAACCTCTGCCTCCCAAGTTCAAGCGATTCTCCTGCCTCAGCCTCCCAAGTAGCTAGGATTACAGGTGTGTGCCACCACACCTGGCTAATTTTGTATTTTTGGTAGAGATGGGGTTTCACCATGTTGGCCAGGCTGCTCTCAAACTCCTGAACTGAGGTGATCCACCCACCTCGGCCTCCCAAAGTGCTGGCATTGAAGGAGTGAACCACTGCGCCTGGCTGAGCGTAGATTTTCATATGAGACAGACCCGTGTCAAGTCCTGGTTCTATCACTTGCTATCTGTTGGACAAAGTACTTCACCTTTCTATGCATGAATTTCTATATCTGTAAAAAAGTACAATGCCAATATCTTAGGCTGTTCTGAAGATCAAAAGGGAAAGCACATGAAAAGACCTTGACACCGTGCCTGGCGCCTAGTAAGCAATGAATGGAAATTTCCTTTCTTTTTTATTTCTTTTTTTTTTTTTTGAGACAGAGTCTTGCTCTGTCACCCAGGTTGGAGTGCAGTAACGCGATCGCGGCTTACTGCAACCTTCCACTCCCGGGTTCAAGCGATTCTCCTGCCTCAGCCTCCCGAGTAGCTGGGATTACAGGCATGCACCACCAAGCCCAGCTAATTTTTGTATTTTTAGTAGAGACGGAGTTTCACCATGTTGTTCAGGCTGGTCTCGAACTCCTGACCTCGTGACCCGCCCACCTCGGCCTTCTAAAGTGCTGGGATTACAGGCATGAGCCACCGCACCCGGCTGGGAGTTTCCTTTCTTATCTCCCTTTCCTGTTTTCTCTTTATAGCAGAAAGTTGAAAGATGCACTCTAATATGGTAGAACATCAAGTTGAGCTAAACTCAATGGCTCCATGTGAAAGTTTGTACAATTCTGCTCTCCTGTTTTATTTAAAACTTGTTTGAATTTGAGATGTAGGATAGTTTCTTTTTCCTTGCTATTGCAAGTCTGATACAGGTCTGATATTTACGATTAGAAGTTCCAAACTGCTAATATGGACCTCAGTAGAAAGGCAAAATCTGTTTGACTTTAATACTATAATCCATTTTTTTAAGTTCTCAGAGCTACTAAGGAGCAATCACAACCACCATTAGCGACCCCTGAGGGTGCCAGTGAGTCAGGTCAATCCTGCCATGTCCAAGACTGGTCTAAATGGTCAGTACTCCCAATCCAGAAATTGCTCTTGGAGTCATTTTTCATTCTTTCAGAAAATAAGGGACACCAAGAAATGCCGTTCAAAAGGAATTAATAGATTTACTGATTTAACATTAATGCCTACGAAAACAGTTTAAATAGCTTTTGGGGTAAGGTAGATTAGTTACTGTTGGTTTCCCATCCAACCAGGTCAAAGCTTTTTCCTATAACTGCAGGTGCATGTTTATTCCCGCACATGGCAGTCCTTTCCATATTAGAGCAGCTCCAGGAGCAGTTATTAAAATGAATAGAAGTTAACCTGTTTACAACTGTGTTTTTCAGACCTGATTCTGTTCTCTGGAGTTACACAGATGAAGTCTGATCTCTATCCGCTATCATGCCTACCCTTTTATTTTTTCTTCTCTTCAATCCCCTTTCCAGTCCCTTCCCAACTCAGGAAACAAAGGGCCTAGATCATTGATTCTTGCTTGAAGATGGGTAGAGGGGAACAATAAAAATAGACAAACAATCTCATAAAGAAACAAGAAAAGGTGTCTTAAGAATGGAGACTTGGCTGGGTGCGGTGGCTCACGCCTGTAATCCCAGCACTTTGGGAAGCTGAGGCAGGTGGGTCACCTGAGGTCAGGAATTCGAGACCAGCCTGGCCAACATGGTGAAACCCCGTCTCTACTAAAAATACAAAAATTAGCTGGGCATGGTGGCACACGCCTGTAATCCAAGCTACTCAAGAGAGGCAGGAGAATCGCTTGAACCGGGGAGGCAGAGGTTGCAGTTAGCTGAGACTGCGCCATTGCACTCCAGCCTGGACAACAAGAGCAAAACTCCATCCCCTACCCCAGCAAAAAGGCGTAAAAAAAAAAAAAAAAAAAAAAGGAATGGAGACTTCTTGTTCTAGAAATAGCACTTTTTGAGATATTATTGTAGAGGATGGTTACTTGCTTGTTTCCACCTCCACTGAGAACAACAACAAAATAAATGGTGGTCTGAAGGCAGTGTTTTCTAATCTATAGATGTTGACAAATAAAGGACTCTATGGTTCTTTACTAGGAGTTCTCAGAGACTCTCTATGTACTTCCCAGAAAAGATTTAGCACTTGACCACAGAACTCTTTTTTTCATGAAACATTTGATGGATACTTGTGTTTTGGGAGACACATCTTAGGAAGTTATGGTTTCAGATATGCTGTGGGGACTCAGACTGAACATTTGAAATAATTTCTTGATTGATTACTGTTAGATCCTGGAGCTGGTGGCCAAGGAAGACTGTGAAGTTTCCTTCCTTGGAAGGTTGGTAGACTCTTCCTCCTTCCCCCAACTCCCCCTCTTTTAATACTAGAATTAGGCATGCACCTGCCTGGGAGTGCTGAGGTGTAGGCCTGACATATAGGGGATCTGAGCATCTAGATCCTTCCCATCCCCATGATTCTATTTTTGTGGATCCCAATTGTGTAGTGTTGCACGGAAGGCACAGACTAGCTGGGACAGGAGGTAACTGAGAGTTTTGGCCAAGAGAAGAGGGGGCTAGAGATGGGAAAAGTTGATGCAATTATTTTTGGCAGGAGTTGGAACCAAAGCAGCAGAAGAGAGTAAGTTTTAAGACTCTCTGGCAAAGTAACTTCCTAATCTGTCACTGAGTATGTGTAAAAAAGTGATTAGTGGGTCTCTATATTTATCATGATTACTCACAAATATGTAATTTACATAATATATACAGCACATTAAGTACTATGTCACCTTATATAATGTGCATATGTATAATGTATATGCATGTTATGTAACGCCAGTCTGGAGGCTCTTCCAGGTTCTGCCAAGTATTTCCTAATTTATTTGGCAATTTTAACGTATCTTTTCCATCTGTGGAAAGAACTCTCTTGAGAGGAGCTGGTCTCTGACCTGAATATAATCATCCTACTAGGTCTATCTCCACTCTCAACACACTGGGGAAACTCCAAAAAGACTAAGCCATAATGGAACACAATTCCTAGCTCATTAGTTTAGGGACAACACAATGTACTAAAGAGTTCCTGCTTTACAGTTTTTATTGCTATTGGGGTAGAAGCATGGGGGGCAGGTGAGAACATGTTTGTAGCATGGCCAGAATCAGAATAAGAAATAAGGGACTAGGTTCTCCCCTGACTAACCACTAAACCTCTTCTCATTGAGATTGAGATAATAATACCTTCTCGGCTAACCTCAGAGGTTGTTATGAGGGTCACTATGATGAGGGACTCCACAAAAAGAAACCACAGTCATATTGTTTAAAGGATGATTTGCAAGTCACGATTAAACAACACAAGATTTACTAAGGTTACCAAATTGGAAGTGCAATTCCACTGAAGTTGTTATACTCCATGCCTCTAAGAAGGACTTGGGATATGTCTCTCAAGCAACATTGCAAGTCCTGTGCACTAGGGTACAGCAGGTAAGGGCCATTTTCTGCACAGCCCCTTCATGAGACTTGTGAGTCTCTGAGAATCAATTTCACCTGTTGATAGTGCCATGTCTCAATAGTCTCAATCTTGGGGGAACTTGACTGAAACACATGCCTGAACTTCTGTAAATGTCTTAGAATCAGTGACCCCAAACCTGAACCTGCCTCAGTTTCAGAATCAAGTGGCTTCCAAGATAGTACCTGTAGTAATTCTGGAGCTTGTTGGTCCCATCACCAAGAATACCATCATTAAAGATATACTTCAGGTGGCCTGGTTTTCCCCTTAGTCAGCATTCTGCACTATTAGGTTGAGCAGAATGGTCTTAGATCTTGCTCCTAGATGGTCCTTCACAGTTAAGTGCCATTTGTACACACAATCTTAATATTCCCTTCCTTGTCCAAAGCTCCTGTCCAATGCAAGGAGATTAGAGGCAGCTCAGTGGAGTGCTATTAAATGGGTCCAAGTTTCCACTGAGAAATCTCAGAGAGGGATGGAGGCCCAGTGAAGCGCTGAGCGGCCTTGCCTTTGGGAAAGGATGGTAATGCTGGCACTTGCTGAATGAGGCCCACTGAGCTCTGCTGAGACCCCTCTGTCCTGGCTGGCAGTATCTTGCAGAAGATGCCTCAGTCCTCCTTGCGACTCTCCACTGAGGTCATCCCTGCAGCCAAGGTTGTTTCCAAACTAAGAGACTATGATGACCATGATGAGGTGACATGTGGAGAGTTCAATCTGATGATCTGTTTAGTACCTTTGACCTCAGACCAACTTCTTTTCCATTCAGGCCAGAGAGAACCTCTGGGAAGCAGCATGAGGCACTCATTTTCTTGTGTGGGCATATCCCGTCCACGCATGTGCTGTACGTTTGTTCCTCCCTGGCAACCTGGATCCAAGTGGAATCACTTTTCAGTGACCGGAGATGACCCTACTCTGAGATGCATGGGTTCTTTTCTCCATTAAATATCTTTGTAACGGCACCTACTCTCAAGCTGCATTAGCCAAGACACCATGGAAAAGTCTCTGAACTTTTCTGAGACTCAATTTTCTTATCTGACAAATGGCAGAGTAAATCCAGCCCAGCAAGTCTTTCATGTTTGTTTTGAAGATCCAGAATAGGAGCTCTCAGTCTCTTCATGAAAGTAGGGAGCTACTTTCATTCCTCTTAACCCTTGTGATCACCGCAGGGAGATGCGTCCTGATAATGAAACAGTGGAGTGGGGGAGTAAGAACCTTTTTTTTCCTTACCACTTTCTGTCTCATACTACCTCTGTTATTTTTTCCAATCAGGAAAAGTCCGTCAGTAAATAAATATTTATATATATAAATATATATAGGCTAAACATATATATACATACACACGTAAGACCATCAGAAGGTCCTTCAGGTCATACTCTGGGAGTGGTGAGTGCAAAGAAGCAGGAGGGAACCATCTCCCGGTTTCCCCAGCAAAGTTCCTTCCTTCCCATCTTTTCTGCCTTCAGGAATAGTCTGCCACCAGGGCTTGGAACTCAAACAGGAAACACGCTTTGGCTTGAAAAAGAAAGAAGCTGGGGGTGGTTTTTTTTTTTTCTTCCCTTTTTACACAATATTATGACACCAATTTGAAAAATAAATCCCAGTTTCTCTGCTTTCCCTCCCAGGTGTTCACAGAACTAAGAAAATAAATACCACATCTAAGGTGTGCTGTGCAGGCAGCTCTGGGAGCTCTTGGAGCCACCTCTAAACAAACATACAGCCACCAGGAGAAGGCTCCGGGAACATAACAAGTGCCCACTGATGGTGCAGAAACCCCGGAATGGAAATACAGCCTTCCGCGGCCTTTCTGCCTCCTCAGCAGGCTGAGGGAGAAGTTATCACTCAAAGGACGACCAAGAAACCAACGTGCGCCTGCTGAGCCCTGCCAAGGATTATGCTCTGAGAGCTGGAGGCTGTTTTGTCTCTGTACAGAGGGACCTTTGTGCAAATTCTCTGGAACCAGAGCTCTTTCCCTTGGCCACATCCGATCTCACTATAGGCAGGAAACCTGCAGCCTGCCCCTCGCAAGCGTCCATGAGGAAACTTGCAGGGCTGGTAGAAAGAAAGGGGGATTTCTCTTCAGTCTCAGAAAATTCTACTCGAGGCCTGTGGGAATGTGGAGGTTGCTGCATGAGCCCTCACGGGCCCTAAGTCCATTCAAAATGTTTTGTTGGCACTGGCTCTGTTAGGGGTGTACCCACTGTTGAAATAGAATCTATGGCAAGGTGACGTTTTCTTCCCGAAGGGTGGCTTTGCTTCCACTGGTTAGAGAAGAGTGTGTATGTGTGCGTGTGTGTGCGTGTGTGTGCATGTGAGTGTGCACATAAATGTGTGTGTGAGTGTGCATTATAGTTTCTTGTTTTCTCTCTTGGTTTAGCTGGTGTTTGGCACACTGTTTAGTCTTTTGAACGGCTCTTCCTCCTCAATGAGAAGAAGCTGCTCTTCTGGGGAGGCCCCATCATCATGGGCGCTTGGTTCTTGTGAGTAATTTTAATCTAAAAGCAAAGAGGCAGAAATGAATTAGTGGCATGCAAATCTCAGTAGCCTAAGGGAGAGTGAGCCACAGAGAAAGGAAAGGCCAGCTTCAGGCTGGAAGGAGCCCCACGCAGAAGGACAACTGTCCTTGAACGGCTTCAAAATTGGCAACTTGACCCTGACTGGGCCTGGAGTTTGGCACTGCTGGGAGTGAGGGGCGGAAGCACTGGAGAGACAGGTGTGAGCTTCCCACGTGGTGATCAGCTCACACCTGTCTCGTGTCCTTGGTATTCACAGACTCTCAGAATGTCACAGCCAGAGGAGACCTCAGGGACTCAATCGACCCCTCTGCAGGAGCCCGTTAGACTAGCCTAAGTTCACAAACAGAGCAGCAGAACAATTAGAGCCCAGTTTTTCAGATTCCCAGCCTCCATTGCTCCTGGTCATTCCTGCCAAGGCAGTGCTGAGCTGTCAATCAAGTGACCGCGACTTTGGTCTGACCTCTGACTAAGCAACATCATGTGGAGAGTTCCCAAGTGAGTGCCTTAGGTATTTCCTCTTTTCTTGGCCTTCTAGGGAAGAGCCTCAATTCTTTTTAAAACTTTGTTTTCTTCAAATTTTAGGGTTTATAAGTGTTTTCTCCTGTAAACTTTAAGTCAATTGGAAGTGAAAGACACCGATGTATTCTCATTTTTGCCTTTCTTCCCAACCTTATCCTCAGGTCATGACTTTGAAATCGTTAATTCCTACTTGAGTGTGGCCTTGCAACCTTAATAATCTACATTATCAGTCCATCCACAATATTTATTAAGTATGATAACGCTCAGAGTAGGATGATGATGTGGGAACAGGAAGCACTTAGAATTCAAAGACCTGGGTTTGAGTCCAGACACTTCCACTTCTTTGCTGTGAAAATTCAGACGAATCATTGAATCTTCAGAGCCAGTGCTTACTGAACTGCAAATGAGGAGGATAATATTTGTCTTATTTTCCTCACAAAGATCAAATAATAGATTGTCAATGAAAGCCCACTGTAAACTGTAAAATGGAAAGTAACAGTTAGTGAAATCCTTGTCTTATGGAGAAAGAGAAAGAGAAAGATGGAGGTCAAAAGAAACAGAACCTATGAATTCATTCTTGCGGTTTTTACCGCATTGTAGGAAATGACAGTGTGACCACAGGGAACAACAGAAGAACTCTTTTTTTTTTTTTTTTTTTTTGAGACGGAGTCTCGCTCTGTCGCCCAGGCTGGAGTGCAGTGGCGCAATCTCGGCTCACTGCAAGCTCCGCCTCCCGGGTTCCCGCCATTCTCCTGCCTCAGCCTCCCGAGTAGCTGGGACTACAGGCACCCACCACTGCGCCCGGCTAATTTTTTCTATTTTTAGTAGAGACGGGGTTTCACCATGGTCTCGATCTCCTGACCTTGTGATCCGCCCGCCTCGGCCTCCCAAAGTGCTGGGATTACAGGCGTGAGCCACCGCGCCCGGCCAGAAGAACTCTTGAACACAGAGACCATCAACGAGTTTAAATTAATCTCGGCTAAACCAAGTGGCGTCCAAAACAAGGTGGGCATGGAATGAGAAAAGTCTGATGGGAACAAGGAGGAAAGAATTTTAAAATTTGAAGGAAGGAAAGGAAATGTGTTGGTGAAAAGGGCGTGGGTAGAGAAGTCACAGATGAGCAGGTTGAGTTCAGAGCAAACTATGAGAAATGTGGTCATTGACACAGGTGGGGCAGCTGGTGTGGGGTTTTAAAGGGAGGCAGAAAGACTGGGTTCACATGAAGAAACGAGGAAGCGTGAGAGATGGCATTCTACACTGCTGAATAACATGACAAAAAAAAGAGTTTGAGGGAAATTATTTAACAGCTGTTGTCAAGGTGAGCTGGGGTAGTGAGTGCCCGGCTAAGAGGGTACTACTGTAAGCCAGGTTGACATTGAAAGGGCTCCAGGAACTGTAATCACGGCACTTTGGGAGGCTGAGATGGGTGGATCACTTGAGGCCAGGAGTTTGAGACCAGCCTGGCCAACATGGTGAAACTCCGTCTCTACTAAAAATACAGAAATTAGTTGGAGGTGGTGGCAGGCACCTGTAATCCTAGCTACTTGGGAGGCTGAGGCAGAAGAATCACTTGAACCCGGGAGGCGGAGGTTGCAGTGAGCCAAGATCGCGCCACTGCACTCCAGCCTGGGTGACAAGAGAGAGACTCCATCTCAAAAAATTAAAATTAAAATAAAGGGCTCCAGGAAATGGAAAGGAAGGATGGGACCAAAAGACACTGTGGACAATTAGCATAAACTGGTGCTAAAAGCTGAAAATGACCCTTATGTTGGCTTCCACCAGCCTGGAGACCTAAAAGGGGAGAGAGTCACTGTTTTGTGATAGTCATCAGAGGAGAAAACCGAAAATGCATCAACATCATTTTGTGCTGTGTGTCTTATTGTGGGCATTATGTTTATCCTAGAATGCACAGAAGTGAGGCATAGGCTGCAGACTGGAGACTCGGACAGCAATTATCTGTGGCATGCAATGTAGCATTCTTTGTGGCATGTTCCCCGGTGGTCAGCCATCTCTCACTCCTGATCTCCCATGCCCATGAGGGGAAGGACTTCAGCTTCTTCACCATGGTACTCTCTGAGCCAGTGCAGTGCCTGTTCAGGGTACAACACATTGTGGAAGTACTGACTGATAAGCCGTACATGCTGGCAGTGGAGATGGCTATGTTTGAGGCAGAGGTTGGTAGCTGGTGCCTACCTTTCCTGCTGGTAGAGCACCCCCCCCTTTTTTTTTAGATAGAGTCTTACTCTATTGCCTAGGGTGGAGTGCAGTGGCTCAATCTCGGCTCATTGCAACCTCTGCCTCCCAGGTTCAAGCGACCCTCCTGACTCAGCCTCCTGAGTAGCTAGGACTACAGGCACTTGCCACCATGCCTGGCTAATTTTTGTATTTTTTAGTAGAGACGGGGTTTCACCACATTGGTCAGGATGGTCTTGAACTCCTGATCTCATGATCCGCCCACGTCGGCCTCCCAAAGTGCTGGGATTATAGGCATGAGCCACCGTGCCCGGCCTTGTTTTTTTTTTTTAAGATGATACAGGACCCTCGCTTCTCTTTTTTCTCCCTTTAGCTGAGCTATTTATTCACTAGTTAGTACCTCTAGGGCACAGAAGAGGAAGTAAAACTCAAATCTCTCCTGCATGTTTTTCAGCAGCTCTGACAAAGGTCTTGATAGGGTAGGAGTTTGGGGCTCCTGGGTAACATAATATTTTGGGCAGCTTTGTGGATTCTATTACTATAGAACCGAAAGAAGTATGAAATCATATCCTCGTTTCCAGTCAAAGAGATATCAGTCCCTTACCCTTAAATTAGGGGCTAGCAGGTAAAATAGTTATGATCCTATTTTAGGAGGTAGTTGGATGTGGCTAAGCCTGCCTTTTCAATCCCTGATAGAAAGAGGTCATCCCACATTTCTGTAGTTAGCACCCAAGCTTCTTTGGTAATTGGGTAAGTCAGGCAATTAACTAAAGTCTCTATGATTTTCTTAAAAACTATTCACAACACTGACAGCACCTGGCCACGTACTAAGATCAGGAGCTTAGTGCATAGTTTTCTGCTCGATCACAGAGAGAATTGATACACTAGACTCTTGCATGATAGTTCGAAGTTCACAAAACTACTGCAGCATGTAATTTCCCCTTTAAAATAGAATAAAAATGTGAACTTCACTAGTGCTGGCAATTGACTTTGTTTGGGGGCTGTTTTCTGCAAACCAACACATTTTTATTACTTCAAGAGAAGCAAGAGATTGAGGGACTTCTCAGGGCGAGTAATTCAGATGATGCCTAGTAAAATGGCCAATAACTTTAAGTGTGAACCCTTCCCAAACCATTTGAAAGGTGTCTGAGGGGTCAGGCACGGTGGCTCACACCTGTAATCCCAGTACTTTGAGAAGCCCAGGTGGGCAGATCGCTTGAGCGCAGAAGTTCAAGACCAGCCTGGGGAACATGGTGAAACTTCGTCTCTACAAAAAATACAAAAATTAGCTAGAAGTGAAGGGGCACCCTTAGCTACTTGGAAGGCTGAGGTGAGAGGATTGCTTGAGCCTGGGAGGTCGAGGCGGCAGTGGGCCATGTTCTCGCCACTGCACTCCAGCCTGGGTGACAAAGTGAGACCTTGTCTCAATAACAAGACAACAAAAAAGAAAAGTGTCTGAGATCTGCTGTAATTTTAACTGGAGATGCATAGAAAGGCACAAATCTGAAAGGTCTCAAATAGTCTCTGTGATATTTTAAAAGTTAAAGAAAACTATGCTTTAAGCAGGAATCTGCTTAAAGTGAGCCTAAGGGAGGGGGGAAGGTTTCCATGGTTTTCAGGTCTTAGCTGTTTCTGGGCCCTCCAAGATCCTAGAATGCTCTGCTTCATGACAGTGTTTCCTGCCATCAGAGGCCTTTGAATGTGACTGGACAAGGCCAGGCGCGGTGGCTCACACCTGTAATCCTGGCACTTTGGGAGGCCGAGGTAGGCAGATCACCTGAGGTCAGGAGTTCGAGACCAGCCTCGCCAACATGGTGAAATCCCGTCTCTACTAAAAAGTACAAAAATTAGCCAGGTGTGGTAGTGGGCGCCTGGAATCCCAGCTACTTGGGAGGCCAAGGCAGGAGAGTCACTTGAACCTGAGAGGCACTGGTTGCAGTGAGCCGAGATTGCGCCATGGCACTCCAGCCTGGGCAACAAAGTGAGACTCTGTCTCAAAACAAACAAACAAACAAACAAACTCAAAAAAATAAAAGAATGTAACTGGACAATGAATCAGATTTTGATTTATTGATGAGTTGGGAAGTTCAACTACATCATTGGTTCTCAAAGTGTGGCTCATAGGCCAGCAGCATCAGCATCACCTTGGAACTTGTGAGAAATGAAAACTCTCTGGCATCCAGACTTACTGAACCAGAAAATCTGGGATGTGGCCCAGCAATATGTGTTTCAGAACCCCTGTAGGTTGTTTAGATGCATACTCAAGT